GGAGTGGCCACTGCACTCCAGTCTGGGCGACAGAGCAAGACTCCAACTCAGAAAAAAAAAATCATTTATGTTTTCATACAGACCTTATGTATATAGCCAAAGGATAATTTCATATAAAACTTTGAATGATCTTGTGTAGGAAACAGTTTCATGTCCTGTGACCTGTCACGTGAGGTCAGGTGTGGAATTTTCCACCTCTGTTATCATGTTGGCACTCAAGAAGTTTCAGATCTCGGATTGGTGTGCTCAACCCGTGTAAGGTACCCATGGCACACAACCACTGGACCTGCCTCACCCCAGGGAGAGGTGATGGTGAGGGGGACGGCGACAGGCTGTTCTCATCTGGCCACGCTGGGGGCTCGGGAGGGGACCTTGCCTCACAGTGTTCAGGCTCGGTACACGTTGGAGGGGGGGTGGGTTTTGTGCCAGTGGAAAATATACGCCCCGAGACTAACAGCTTTCCAGGAGACGTTCACGGCCCAGGAGACAGTCACGTGCTGGTGACCTGCCTGAAGGGCGCCCAGCTTTCCTACCTCATGAGTTTCATGTCCAAAGGTTCGAACTGTGCAGGGGGCTGCCGGCTGTGCTGATGCACATAGGTGATGTGCTGGGCCAACCTGGGAAGAGGGGAGGCAAGGAGGAACATTCTTTTTAGGGTCACACACCCCTGCCCTAAGTATCCCTCCCTTTGCTCCACCACCGCACAGCATGGTAAGGACAGACTTTCCTTGGGAAATCTTCAGCATTTCAGCCCTAACCCACCATTTCCCTAAGGAACCGTGGACTAGCCCCTGCTGTAACAGGGAAGGCCCTAGAGGTTCCAGGAACAGAGAATTTGACCGATTTTCCAATTCACCTCCCTCCCTACAGAGCATTACAAGGGGATCTCTCTGGGTGTTGAGCTTCATTCACCGTAGGTCATTGTCTCGGTCGGGGCGGTCTTGGATCAGCCAGAGGAGGTCAAATCGAGAGAGCAGTGCAGCAGGAAGCTGTATGTTCTGCTCCAGGCTGCGGCGGGGGTTGTAGCGCCCGTATGCGGGGTTGGCAGCGGCCAGGATGGAACAGCGAGCATTGAGTGTGGTGAGAATGCCTGCCTTGGCAATGGAGATGGTCTGCTGCTCCATAACCTCATGGATGGCCGTGCGATCGGCCTCAGCCATCTTGTCAAACTCATCGATGCAGCACACACCCTGGTCAGCCAGCACAAGGGCCCCACCCTCTAAGGTCAGTTCTCCGCTCACAGAGTCTCTTAGCACGGCGGCCGTAAGGCCTACTCCTGAGGAGCCCCGGCCTGTCGTGTACTGACCTGGAAGAAAATAAGCAGACATGTTGAAAGAGAGACAGAGAACGGAACAAGGACGGGCACAAGCACAGGACAAAAGACACAAGGATAGGGCTGGCGAGGCCTGGCCTGGACTGAAATCACTCTGCCCACCCCTGTCCTTTCTGAGACACCTTAAGATCTGTGAAGCATTCGTGACAGCAACACCCTCTTTCCCTGCCACCAATCCTCTCCAAGACCTGGCCTCCCTACCCACCCCTGCCTTTTGAATAACCCTATTCCTGTCCCTCAGTTGACCTCATTCACCTCTCCCAGGGCTGATTACTCACTGCGGGGGGCCAGGCGATCGATGTAAGACAGGAGCTGAGACTTGGCCACACCAGGATCCCCCATGAGGCAGATGTTGATGTTGCCTGGAGGAAGGGAAAAGCCCCCAAATGACTATTTGACGTTAATCACCTAACAAAGAGAAACACCTTGAAGCCTGCCTCCCCTCCGATACTCAGCACTACTTCTAAGCCAAGACATCCACTCTTATTCTGGGACCTACGGGAACGCTCCTCCACGTCACCCCGTTCCACCCCCAAACGACTGCATCCACTCCCAGCTCGCTGGTTTTTTCTTCTTACCCCTGATTTTCATGCCTCTAGGAGACTGGTCCACACCTCCCACTAGCAGGAGCAACAGCGCCTTCTTTACATCTTCATGCCCATATATCTCTGGGGCAATAGAAGCTGCCAGCTTTTCATAGAAATCCTCCTCTACAGGAAAACTAAGGTTAGAGTACTGGCCAGGTGCAGTGGCTCAAGCCTGTAATCCCAGCACTTTGGAAGGCCGAGGTGAGAGGACCGCCTGAGTCCACAGGTTTGAGAATAGCCAGGGCAGCTTGGCAAGACCTCATCTCTACAATAAATAAAAAAATTAGCCAGGCGTGGTAGTGCATGCCTGTAGTTCCGGCTACTTGGAAGGATCACCTGAGCCCAGCGGGTCAATGCTGGGGTGGCTGTGAACATGCCACTGCACTCCAGCCTGGGTGATGGAGTGAGACTCTCAACTCAAAAAAAAAAAAAAAAAGATTACAGTATTTTTCAGGAGGAATAAAGGGCTAAGATGAAAACTGAACTCCCAGTCCTCCCCGGCCCCTCACCTGCAATCTGCCTCAGCTCCTCCCTGCTCAGTTCTCCAGCCCCAGACTCATCATCCTCACTCTTATTCATCTTCACAATCCGATGGGCTTCCAGGTAAGTTTCCGAGAGTAAACCCTTAGGCAGAAAAACGCCAGGATGTGGATGAAATCTTTTTAGCCTGCCCATCACCCGCGTCCCTAACAACTTCTCAACAAAACCCTTTGTTGTATTTTGCTTGATGTTGTACTGTTTAGTTTTCCCAGTGAGGGCGGAGACAGTGAGTGGGTGAGGGGAAAGGGGACCATTTCCTGCTTGTATCCACCTCCCTTTCTTACCTGGACCACTTGTCGAAACCCAGTGCGTAGGATTGGCAAGAAAATACCAGTTACACTGATGTGGTCTCCAGGCTGGGCGATCCTGGTGTTCTCTCCTTCTATCAGCACTGTGATGCTGCGAGGGATATTTCCCACAGGCACTTGGTCACTCTAAGAAAGGGAAAGGTAAAAGGATCTTAAGGCCCATAAAGACCCAGTCTTCCCTCCCTAGGCATCCCCAACTTGAAGACTTCTCTCAGCCTGCTCAGCCTCAGACAAGCCCACAGGAGGGGAGCTAAAATCTCCTTCGACTCTTCCTAACTCAATCAGAAGAGTCCCGTTAAAATCTCCCTCCTGTTCTAGGCAACTTGTCTGCCTGAGTTCGTCCCTCTTGTTCTGTCTTCCTGCTACTCCATGAGTGACTAAAGAATTCAAGTGGACACCCTGTTCCACCAGCCCTGGACCACATACTCCAAACTCACATATTCTTGCATCTTCATCTCCTGAAATTTGATGAATTTGGAGCCTCGTGTCTGCAGATATAGCCGCCCTCCTGAGCGGTTGGTCTGGCACTCCTGGCTTGGGCACATGATCAGAGGCATGAAAGTGGGAGACTGGATCTAGGGTGTGAAAAAGGAAGCACCAGCAAAGACAATCAGAAGGACAAGAGTCCTTTCTGGTTGGTCCCTTGACCCACATCTTTCTCTTTGTGGCAGACAGCTTGAAGTGCTAAGAACCCTTTGAGCTACTCTAGGTAGACAATGACACCTATCAGGAAAATAGCACGCTTAGAAAAGAACACTACACGTTGAGAAAGAATAAGGGTGAACACACAGGCATCTTTCACAACAGACAAAACAACAAACATCAAGAGAGAAGACTAATTCTTACACGAGCACTTAACAGAGTTGAGTGCTTTCTTGTTTCTTGCTCTAACATACCGGCTGGTAGGTCTCTGCTCCACATTGGTCACAAGTGTAAGTGGCCACCACCATTCTGGGTTTGACTTCAGAGACACGGGTGACGATTCCACGCACAGTTACCAATTTCCCCACAGAGTCAGCCCGTACTTCCCGGATCACACGAGGCTTGTTGCTGCTTGGACCTTGAAAATACAGCTCACTAAGAGGAGAAGATGATTATAAGCAAGGTCCTGGAGAACAAATTCCTAACCCCTTTCCCACCGAGACCACTTACAATCTGCGCATGAGCTCAGGAGGGTACTGGTTCTGTGGACTTCGAGCTGCCCCAGGGTCCCGGCTCCGCTGCTCCATCATCAGCCGGTGCTCTATGTAAACATCCAGGACATCTTTGTTTACCACCTAAAGGAAAAGGAAGACAGAAAAATGAGTGGCAGGAAAGGCAAGGGAGAACACAGAGGGCCCCAGGCAGAAGTCACTGCCCCTCCTTTCTGTCAGCTCAGAAAACACCAGCATCCAAGCAGCCTCTGGAAAGAAACCTAAACTCCTTGCCCTACACCGGTCTCCAGCCGCTTCACCTCTCTCTCCTTGTACTGCGGCAGCAGCTCTTGTACAGCATCAGCAAAGAGTCTTGCGTAGCGCTTGGCATTCTCACAAATTGAGTCTACCAGCTCAGGGTCATCCTCAGCTACGTCGTCCAGGTCCACATACAACGCCACTTGTTCCCGATGAGCCAGCTGAACCTGGGGTGGGGAACACCAGCATTCACATGTGGGAATTCATCACTGTGAACACAGCACAGGCCCCAGGCATCCACAGGGTAGAAAGAGCATCATCAGGCGGAGCAATCCTCACTTCTCAGCCCCAAAAGACAGTCTCCCAACTCCTTAAAACACTCTAATTACGACGACTATACCACAGCGTCATACTTATCTGGTATCAGGTGGTGTGCTAAACATGCAAGTTACAAACAAATGGACTTGCTGAAACAAGCTAGGCCACCCATTACAGCTCAAGCACCACCCCACTCCCCATTCTTTTCACCCAATCTAAAGACTTACCAACTGGTTCCCATACTTGAACTGCTTCTTACCAAACTCATCATCCAGATAAAACTCTTGTAAGAACTTCTTAACCTTTTCTGTGAAGTAAGCATAAAATCACGAGGCAACCTTTCTTTCAGCTACACTACCAGAACGTGAGACGGAATCTACTTTTATCTATGAACCAATCGCCTGAACATTTGAACAAGTCTCCCCCAGAGTGGGCAGAACTCCTTCACACAAGCCTATTTTTAGCCAGGGAAGAAGGGCCCCATGCTGTTAAAAGTACTACCCAGCGCCTTCTCCCCAGGGGAATTCCAGTCTCCAGTTTAAAATCCCAGCCACCCTTCCCCAGCGGCCTCCCAAACTCCGAAACACACTACGGCGTCAAGGCCCTCGGTTTTTCTCCCACCTGTACGACTTCGCCCTTCTCGGGGGGTCCTCTAGAACCCCGATCTCGCCGGGATCCCCGCCACCGGGCGGCCCTCCACCTCGACCCCGCTCCCGCCAGCGCTTCCGCTCTTAGTAAACAAAGAAGCACATGGGCCCAGACTCCGGCCGCCTCACACCCGGGATTCCTCCGCCCGAGGCGGGAGCCCGGGCCGCTATTGGCCAGGACGCCCAGGGCCACTGCATCCCACCCCACGGCCGCCTCGCCG